CCCCCGCCGCTGTCGCGGCGGCCGGACCCAGGGCTCCGAGGGCTCCCGAGGCGGCGGAACCCGTGGCCAAAGTCCCAGCTCCTGCGGGGAGGGTAGACCGAAGGACGGGCTGCCAGAAGAACCGGAAGTGGCTCTCACCGGAAGACTAGAGTCGAAGGACCACAATTTTGTACTTCCTTTTCCCCCTTAGCAACGGATGTCGGCGTCGGTTACTAAGGGAGGCTCTGTGGCCTGGGACCGCTTGGTTTTCAAGTTTTGTTCGGGCCCCGTTCTATACAAATGTCCGATTTGCAAAAGGGACCCTGGCTCACTTTTATTTTTCGGTGTGAAGAGGGCGATTCTCGCCTGAAAGCGGGATCACAACTTGTCTTCGGAGTGGAAACGGGTCGCAGAAGAAGGGCCTTTAAGGAGCGTGTGGACCATCCTGACGGCATCTATAGATTAATCAGACCTTGAATAATAACAGCCACCAAACCTATTGTTTAATTCAGTGCATCGCTAAGTACTTCACATGCATTATTCATATTTAACCTTCGCATTTACATTATCCACATTTTACATCCCAGGAAACGCAAGAAATTCAGAGATAGAGTAAGTTTTTGACACAGGTGTAAGTGGTGGAAACAAGATTGTCAGGCAAATCTGTGTCTCAAGAATAAGCACTGTCCAATAGCATATATGGAAGGCCATATTTTAAATCTTCTAGTAGCCACATTAAAGTGAAAAAACCAGTAGATTACTTTTATTAGTATCTTTCACTTGCCCCAATATGTTCAAAATATCGTCATTTGTATGTAAGAATTCTTAATGAGATAATTTACATTCTTAGGGAGTGGCAACCCACTCCAGTATTCTTGCCTGGAGAAGTCCATGGGCAGAGGAGCCTGGTGGGCTGCATACAGTTCTGTTCCGTTCAGTCCAGTCGTTCAGTCATGTCCGACTCTTTGCAACCCCATGTACTGCAGCCTACCAGGCTCCTCTGCCCATGAGATTTTCGAAACAAGAGTACTGGAGTGGGTTGCCATTGCCTTCTCCGTAAACCAACTTAAACGTAACTTACGCAACATACAGTTCATGGGATCACAAAGAGTCAGACATGGCTGAGCAACTAACACTTTTCACATGTTTGTACTAAGTACCTCTCCATTTGAACCAGCTGTTTTTCATGTTCTCAATGGCCACATGTGACTGGTAGCTGCTACACTGGACAATATTAGAGCCAGAGAGAACTTGCCCTCCCTTCTAATTGATTCCCCCAACTCCAGAGCAAGTAATTGCAACTGCTTTAGTAAAGAAATGTTTTGGTTCAGTGATTCTCAAAGTTTATAGTCTCAGAACCCATTTATAAGCCTAAAAATTATGAAGCTTTTGTTCATGTGCACTATACCTAACTATGCTTACACTACTAAAAATTGAGAAATATGGAGCATCCTGACTAGTACACTGGGTTTCACACTTCCTTTGTCTGTAAACATAATAATTGAAAGCACTTGCCAAACATTTGCTAGTGGCTAGATCCTTGTGCTGAGTACCTGTGTGCACTGTCCTATTCCATCCTCCCAACAAACCCGCCAAGCAGGTTCTATTAAAATTTCCACTTCGGGGGACTTCCCTGGTGGTTGAGTGGTTAAGCATCTGCCTTGCAATACAAGGGGCTTGGGTTGAATCCCCGGTCAGGGAAATAAGACTCCACATGCTATGGAGCAACTAAGTCTGCCCACAGCAACTACTGAGCCCATGTGCCACAACTACTGAGTCCCTGTGTCTCAGAGAAAAATACTGCATCCCTGTGGGAGAGTAAATGGGTACCATTTCGTCCTGGGCAATTTGGACTATTTACAAAAATGACGAATCTGCATACCCTGTGATCTACAGAGTAATCTATTTATCACACACACATAAGAATAAAGGTATTTATTGCAGCATTGTTGTGAATAATAAACAATGAGAAGAAATCTCAATACCTAGAAAAATTATAGTAATCCCACGCAGTGGAATACTATATGCTATGAAAATAATACAGCAGTTCTTGTGTATTGATAAAGGAGATTCTAAGATTCATTGTTAAGGCCAAAACAGTAAGGTGCGGGCAGTGGAAGAGAATGCTTTTAATTGTGTGAGAACAAATGTTTATAAATATAGAGATAATTAAAACACTGGAGACACTGCTGGCCTCTGATAAGGCAGCTATGTGATTGAGGGCAACCTTTTGTCTTTGGCTATTTTGTGCCATGTGCGTGTATTATTATTCAGAAACAAGAAAATATCAAAAAAAAACAATTTAAAAATGTTAAACTTTAAAAGCATCAACAAAACACAGGGGTATGACTTCCGTGGTGGTCCAGTGGTTAGGAATCCAGCTGGCAATGCAGGGGACGTGAATTTGATCCCTGGTCGGAGAAATAAGATCCCACATGCTGGGAGGCAAACAAGTCAGCGCCAGCCAGAACTACTGAGCCCTAGTGCAGCAACCGAAGATCTCCCATTCTGCAGCTGAGGCCTGACACAGAGAAGGGAATAAATTAAAAACTACAGTGGGAAGACAGCATCAAAATTGATGTTCCTTCTTGTAAAAAAAAAAAAATATATATATATCCATTAGAAGCTCATGAAAATTGAAAAAGCAGACCACTTAATAGGATAAATATGAGCCCAAATTTATAAGAAGACATCTACGTTTTCAATGGCTTCTATGGCCACATGCTTCAATGGCATCTATGCTCTCTATCTTTAACTGTCCCTGTGTCAAAAAATGGCTGGAAGGCTATAGTCCCCAAATGGTAACTCTGGTTCTCTCTTTGTGGTAGATTAGTAGTAAGTTTTATTTTCTTCTGAATGCTTTTCTTCTTATCTGAATTTCTATCATGATCATTTATTTCTTTCATAACTAGAAACACTTTTAAGAGATGACTAATATAAATGTACCTTTCTTTATGCAGTAGCTCTGAATTGTTGCAACCTTTGTAACTCAAACCCTCCTTTTCTGGTAGGATCTCCAATCTCCAGAGAGACGCTTAAACCCAGTTGTTAAGCTCACTTTACCTCTCAGATCTTCACAATAAACCCACATTTAAGCCTTCCTACGTAGCTCTTCACTATAAACCCTTAATAAAAATAATTAATTTGTAATAAATAATTGTGGGAATTATTACCTAATTTATGTGGTTGATCAGTTTGTATTTCACATGTATTCCCTTTAAAACCAGCAAGCGCATACAAGTTTCCAAGACTCATTTCTGGTTTTTTGCATGTCTCCTCCTATCTGTTGTGAATATATATGTTGTTAAACAGTGACTAGGTTCCTGTTTTATTTTCCATTAACAAAGAATGGCATTAGTTTCAAAATCACTTCCTCCTGTTCAAACAGAAGCCCTGTAAGACTCTAGCACGTTGGTTCCCAGAACATCTGATCATAACATAAGTCACCATTATTTATTTTACTAATCAGGAAGGGCCTCACCTGAAGAGGCCATCAGAGGTCAGTTCATTGACTGGTGAGGAAACTGAGGCCCAGAAGAGTTCACTGATAGCAGTATTAACTTCTGCCATCAGTTAAACTAGTCGCCCCATTTCCTGGCAGAGACTCTGCATTTTTTTCCAATTGTCTTTTCTGAGAGTTTCAAACATGCAGAACAACACAGAAGTGAAGCTGAGGGTAGTAGCCAGCCTCCAAGATATGACCCCAAAGACCTTAGAGATCCTGGAGTCACACATCCCACGTTAAACACAGCAGATGTGTGTAACCAAATGTTTATTGGGAGAGACTTCCCTGGTGGTCCAGAGGTTAAGAATCTGCCCGCTAGTGCAGGGGACATGGGTTTGATTCCTGGTCAGGTAAGTCCCACATTCAGAGTGGCAGCTAAGACCGATTACCACCACTAGAGAAAGCCCACGCACAGCACTGAAGACCCAGCACAGCCCAAAGTAAATAAATAAATATTTTTTAAAATTTTATTTTTTACTGTGAGAAGGATGGTATGTAAATTTCAAGGTCAGGTCATAAATGACGTTTCTGTATCCACTTTGCTTTCTCTTGGACCACTTGCTATGGGAGGAACCACTCGCTATGATAGTTGTGAAGATGCTCAGGAGAGGATCTGCCTTTTTTCTTATTTTTTATAATTTATTTTCAATTGGAGGATAATTACTGTGCTGGTTTCTGCCATACAACAAGGCGGATCAGCCATAAGTATACCTATGTCCCCTCCCTCTTCAACCTCCCTCCCACCCCACCCCGTTCCACCGCTCTAGGTTGTCACAGAGCACCCTGTTAATCAAACCGTGTTATGCATGAGCTATCTGTTTTACATGGCTATCCCATGAGCTACCTGTTTTACATGGCTATCCCGCGAGCTATCTGTTTTACATATGGTAATGTGTATGTTTCAATGCTACTCTCTCAATTCGCCCCACCCTCTCCTTCCCGCACTGTGTCCACAAGTCTGTTCTCTATGTCTACTTCTCTATTTGTGCCCTGCAAATAGGTTCATCAGTACCATTTTTCTAGATTCCATATATGTGCACTAATATATATTTATTTTTCTCTCTCTGACTTACTTCACCCTGTATAACAGGTTCAGGGTTCATCCACCTCACTGGAACTGACTCAAATTCATTCCTTTTATGGCTAAGTAGTATTCCATTGTATACATGTACCGCAACTTCTTTATCCATTCATCTGTCAAAGGACATCTAGGTTGATTCCACGTATTGGCTATCGTAAATAGTGCTGCAATGAATACTGGAGTACATGTGACTTTTTCCGTTATGGTGTTCTCGGGGAATGGGTTTGCTGGGTCATATGGTAGTTTTAGTCCCAGTTTTTTAAGGAATCTCCAAATTGTTCTCCATAGTAATTGTATCAATTTACATTCC